CCACCCACCCACCCAATTTTCATCCAGGAACATCGAACCCACCTTTATATATGCACTTGGGTAAATCTTGTGCACAGCATCCCCTGGTGCACGCCCTGCTTCTCTATCCAGGTAGTAACTCTGAACGAAGACCGCGTGGTCACTGAGGCATCTGACCCACACGTCTCCTTCGCCTTTGCACTCCAACTGCACCCCTTTACCTATGTGTAACCTTAAAAAGATAAACAGTTCCAATGCACCTGGGTGTACACGCTATAAATCAGACCTAAGTAAGGCAGAAATAGTTCTCTCAGCTTTCAAGTCATCTGCGATACTTTAATTCACACTCGGCTCACACGAAGACTTGAAATCGTAATTATTATCTGAGGTGTAAGTTAGTATGTGGTTACATAAAATCTGCAAAAGAAAAAAAAAACCTGTCTGGAATAGCACGTCAAGATCAATGGGAAACACAGAATGTAGAAGCAATGATGTCTGAATAGCAACTAACACACTGACAATACAGAGCTGGGGATACCAAACGCATTCGGTTCTTGCTCCCAAGTGTAAAATCCCACAAGGATTCTGATCTGGGAAGTCACTCAAGTACCCATACAAAGCCACATTTTAATGCAGAACTGTATGTTCGTTTGGATCAAGTTACAGCAATCGAGCGTTTTGATTGTCACACTGCAACATTTTTGAAGACGGGGAATCATTAAAAAAAAAAAAAAAAAAAAAAGCAAGCTGCAAGATTGCTTCGGTTCTCTATGCTCCAGCATCAAAGCCCAGCACATGCCTGGTGAGAATGAATGAAAATCCAAACTAGCTCTCCATCAACCTTTCTCCGCTCCTTTGACAAATCTATATATTGCAGTTATTCTCACGTCGCTCTGTGGTGCAGAGAGCCAATATTCAGCTCGCATACATAATGGCACGAGTTGCTAATTTTATCCTGGAAGGCACAGCCTTTGAAAGCAATGAAAAGCAACACGCTACGGCAAAGCACTGAAGGTCTTTGTCACCCAGTTCACATTTTGAATGCGTTACAGGACTGGCCTAGAAAGATATATTCTGCTATAGTTAATGCACTTAAAACCACCCCATACTTGGAATTTCAAAAGGGAGGCAACACGCTGGAGGTAAAACAAAAATATTATCAAGTACCACGGACAGCTGGAGGGTTTGGGATCTGCAGAATACCTTGCTCTCTCAATGGCTTCTGTTCTATGCACGTTGGAAAGCTGGCCCAGGCAAAAACGGTCTCCTCCGGAAGGATCCACATATCCATCCACAGTAACAATTGGACAGCTTGAAGGGACCTTAAATGTTTCCCCAACTTGCACGTCCATTTCAAAATACGCGATTGAACACCAATACTCTGGAGCTAAAAGATACATAAAATTAAAACAAACAAAAAAAACACACACACACACAAAAAAAACCTATAAACCCATTCCAGACAATCAATCGAGCCCTTCTGCAACTGCATTTGGCATTCAGAGTAAGAGTGCACGGTCACATAAGCAAGTTCAGCGAGACAAAGGCATGGCTGCTAGCACTGAAAAATACTGCCTGCTGCAACGGACACGGGCTTGTTGGTTTTTATCTGAGCCCCCATCAATGCGAGGGGCTTTTGTGGTTACCATCTTACAAGTCTTTGTACAGTTTTTAATTCCAGTTAGATTCTGTAAACCGTCTACATCCCTGCACCTCAAGGCTATAGCTTGATTTTGCCCTCCTTCAGCATAAAGAACTAACATGTATGTGCCTATTCATGACTAGGCTGAGAAAAACTAACTCTCAAATAGGTCTGGCTTAAGATATAAGAGTAACTACCTCCTAGGTGAAGCCACTTTGCTCTATCCTCCCTGCAAAGCAAACTGGATTGGGAAAGCAGGGCAACGGGGGAAAAAACATCAAAGATCACATACTGATCTTGTCTGCACACAAGAATGGCAGGCATGGGAGAAAACAAGGAAATATTAAGCAAGAGAGCAGAACAAAATGGTGTGTTTTAACAGCAAAGAGATGCCTTTTAACTCATATTGTTTTAAAAACTGGCTACAAAGGGAAGATGGTACTTGGAAGAAGCTATCATGTGAGGAAGGGAAACCCTGACTCCCTAAGAAGATGCTACTGAAATCCAAACACTTAAGTAAGCTGGAAAAGCTGGCAAAGCACACAAAAGTGATTTTGTGTCTGTGCGTACCAGCTGCTCACGTGCTACCTGGGAGCAACTGGCTTGTCAAAACTTTCAGCAGCTTGCTGCGTGTGCTCTGAAGTGTTAAAGAGTTTCCCCCTCTTCAGATTAAAACCTAAAGCTGCCATAAGCTCAAAATCACTGGAGATTTGGGGGACTCTTTGTTGACTGTCCCATTTAACACGCAGCTTGTTGGGGAGGATAAAGAAAAATCAGCCCTACAGGATACTCAAAATAGGGGAAGCTGAGGAGTTAATGTGATAGCACCTAAACACAGGCTGGGAAAGCCAACAGGAAAAAAAGCTCTCCCAGTGCCGTAAGCAGTACTTGTTCATTACAAACTGCACACACCTACCTAGCTTAAGAAACTGTCGTTCTGGTTTTATTAGAAAAGAGTAAAATAAGGTGCCTGAATGCCTTTTTTTAATCTTCAAATAAATACTCGTGTCTCCGAGGACTGAAGGGGGTGAAATCAATAGGTGAATCAACAGGGTGAAAAAGACATACTCAGTAATACGTAATAAATACAGTTTAGCTACAGGTAAGTTCACCCAACAATTATCAACAGTTTTATTTCTGGTACTGATTTAGTCACTGGCCAATGAATAAACAACTTAAACTTTTAGATTTTTCAACTCTGCGGCAAACCTTGTGCAGGGAACAGCTTTACTGTTGTTAAAAAGAGAATATATCACCTTGCACCTGCATGGAGCTAGCTTGTACCACAAGACAAGACTTTTTTTTTTTGTTTGTTTCACAAACTTCTACCACTAATGAAGATTTTTGGAAAGAATGGAAAGATCCAACAAGGAACTTCAGCACCAAAATTCTAAGGGCAACACCTATCTTTGAGGGTATCTGGCTGCAATGAGGGACTCCTAGATTATGGATCCAAGAGGGCTTTGGCATGACCTAAGCTCCATGATGTTTCTAAGGAGGCAAGAAGTACAAATTCAGGCACGCTGCGAAGTTGAGGATGGAGGACAGTCAGAGTTCAGACACCTCTAGGATAGGAACCAGCTCAGTGTGGATTTGAGGACTGCAATTTTTGATTTGGGCAGCTAAATTCAATTCCGTTCACAGAGTACACCACTATTTCAAAACAGAGGTCCGAATTCAAAAAAGACATCACAAAATGGTTTCTCTTCTCCTTTCCTGCACTTTTGAATACACCACTCACAAATTTCACAGCACTTCATACATAAAAAAAAAAAAAAGACAGACTCAAACCATAAATTTTTCATAACATTTAGCATTACGTCTTAGATGTTACTCACCAGGATGATTTGATATAGGAGGCTGGAATGCAAGTTCATTGTGAACTGGCCCTTTAAAAGAAAACATGCATTTTGTTTTACACAAGGAAAAATAAAGTTTTCTTTCTTAACTTGTTTTCTTAAAAAAAAAAAAAGACTTATGAGGATGCCAGATGTTACAAATCCCAGTCATTTCTGAATCAATTGGCCAAATCTGATAGGGGAGGAAAATACCCACAGAGGAATTACACTTTTAGAGGTTTCCTAAAAATTCAGAAGTCGAGCAAAGCGCTCCATTAGTATCCCAGGAGGAAAGGCTGCATGCTGCTCAGGCCAGACCCAGCTCCAGCAGGGAGCACAAACCAGATGTAGCATGGAAATGTAATAAAAATAGGACTTAGGCTTCACATCTGCCCTCAAGTCGGGCAAGAAGAGAATCACTGTACAGAGACATGGGATATATGTGATATAAATCTGTCAGAAACCACACTTCATTAGTTTCACCAATCACAAAACAAGTTGCCCAGCAGGCTGTGGACTTGACCACAAGAAACAGTCCCTGAAGATGGAAAAAGCCTTAGAGAACTCATTTTCTAAAGAGAAAAAAAAAATAAAATACTGATTGTGGTCTTGGTATCGGTCAGTTTATTCTCTCCACTTTTATAAACTAACTAGGTCCCTTGGAAGCAGCAGAGAACAAGAAGGAAAGACTTAAACATAGTATTATAAGTAACAGCAGCTTTTGCAACAAGATGTCAAAACAGGCCCAACGTTGGTAGGTGTCAAAACATGCAACTTTCTGAAGTGAGAAAAGGCAGCAGCCAAGAAAAGCTTTGTGTGGTATCACCAGCCAGTTACAAATATTAATTATGGAAAGATACAGGCACTGAGAAACATTTATAGAGTATCTACAGCACCATTAAAGTTTTTTACATCCTGTATTTCTGACAAATAAGAAATGAAGCAGGATCTTAACAGAACAAAATAATGAAACTTTAGATACTTGTGGTATGGAAACCACAATTTTCTGGAGAGAAACAAGCTGAAAAGTCATTCTACCATCAACTCACGGTATATTCTCCCCTCCGCTAACAATGACTGCTGGAAACAGGTGATCTGGTTAAGTACTGTACCAGAAAATAAAGAACCGCTCTACCTTTTTGCAATAAAAATGTCAAAAAACTTGAATTTGGGTGGGGCTTTTTTTGCACTATAATCTTATCATGCATACGCTGTGCCAGACACACTAGAAGTTTGATCACTCCCCCCGCCCCTTTCCCATCTTCCACACCTTAAAACAAAAAGGCTGTGGTCTTATTTTGTAGATTTCAAAGATTTTTCAAGTTTGTGTGTCAAATGTACTCACGAACCAGGCTGTGGCAACACCACTTTATTGGCAATGACTTTACTGCACGAGCTTTCACAAAGTTCTCATAAAGCGGTTCGTGTACATGGACACACGTTTTCCAAAGCTTAATGTAGATCGTTACCTCAATAAGACACGTATTTAAAATTTCTCGAAAATAAAAACAGCCAGGAACTTCCAAGTTTTGAAAGAAAAATATCCAGACAACAGATGCCGAATCAACTTCCTTTTCCACACAGGAAATATTTACTACAGGATTGCAAAGTTTTAAAAAGAGAGATTTAGAAAAGAAATGCTAGTTTTGCTAGGTATAGTAAGACATCTGTAATGCAGATGGCATCACTATAGCTATCAGAATTTCTAATCTCTGCTGCTTTAGTGAAGAAAAGTCTATCAAGCTCATATGTAACTGTCAGAATATACTAAACACGGCAATGGTAGTTCTATAATGAGGGGGGGAAAAACAAAAAAAAAAAAAGATTTGGGGGTAAATAATAACCACAAATGAGCACCCAACGTTCAAGAAAAACTGAAAATAAAGTGATGACTTACAGTAATGTCCAGGATGCATAGGTGGATGATGCTGAAGATGGCCATTCTGGTGGTGAGGTATGGTAGGCGTGTAGGCTGCTGTCCGACTTCCAGTCCAAGTTGTAGTACTATCTAGAAAAAGAAAGGAGTGGTTGGTTTTTAAGGCAGTTTTTCAGCATCTCCCTTCTAATCCTCTATTTCTCCTGAACATTTGGAAACTGGTTTTAGAAAACTAAGAAGAGTGCACGTATGTATATACTCACTGTGATGGTAAGTAGCTGGCTGAGCTGTAAACCCATTCTGCTGAGTTCCTGGCTGAGGCCCTGAAGCAATCTGTAAGAGTCCATCACTATGGCTACCTGTCAATATACTGGTAGGTTGACCTGGTAAAAAAACACACTACCTATTCATGAACGTTCCAAAATTTTAATTAAGAAGAGCTCAGCACTACTGGGGAGGAAAATACACCCAACTAAGGGCACTGCAATACAAAGTTCCTACAAGTTTGGCTTCAGTTATTTTATTTTTTTTTTTCCACCCCCCAGAGCGTCTTAGGAAACGTGAAGCAAGATGCTCTGCATCAGCTAATTTTGACTCTGACACCCTTAATATTTTAGGAGTAGAAGTATGCAGAGAACTCTGTTTATCAACGGCATCTTTTGTTTTGCTCACATCTCATTTTGGAGGTTGAAAGGAAAGAAGAGGAGATGTCACAGGTTTTATTGACCGACAGAGCTGGAGTAGATTTGGTATGAATCCAAACAGGCCAACAGCAGGTCCCAATAAATTGCTTATTTTCAGCGTAACTACTGTTCCTGAGGAGGACGCTGCCTTTAAATTTACATTCCTCCAAAACACACTGAACAGTATTTTATTTTTTAAAATAGTGCTTGAATAGAGCTGCATACATCACTGGACTCCTTCCTGGGTTGTTTTTTTTTTTCTCCCAAATAAATATTTCAAGAATTCTCTAAGCTATAAAGGAAAACTACAGATAATTTCAGAACAGGTTAAGAGAATTTGATTTTAAAAGGCTTCAGCTCAGCCATTAACACTAAACTGATCAGCAGGTTCACAAGTACACTTGCACTCTCAAACTGGTGTGGCTAGCAGAATTGAACACATTGAAAACTTGAACTAGAACTTGAAAATGAGCTTTTTTTTCCCCTGTCCACTTGGCTCCAACAACTGTAGCACCGATGAGAAGTTAATGACTATTAACTGTTGTGCAAAGGCAACACAATTAAACTGCCATTCCCTTTTTTTCTCTGCTGGAGACAAACAGAGACACTGTATCTCAGCTTGGCAAAACTATCATTAATTTTAGCCAAAAAGTTGCGAGCTGGAATTAAAGAACATTATCAAAACACCACGCCACCGTAATTCAGATTTGATACCACGAAATGCATTACATGCAAACATTTTTGATGTTTAAAGCGACGAAGATTACGTGAAACCCCTCCAAACTTCAAGGTTTCCCTACGTTAGGGCTGCAGGACGCTGTGTAATTAACTGCTTTACCATCCTGCTGGAGTGAAGTGTGAGGTTTGACGTGGGTAAACCACACTCTTCCACTTGTACCAAATACAGATGGAAAAGAAAGAAAAAACTTCAGTGCAGCACTCCGACGGATTTGTGAAACTATTAACGAGGGCTGTCACTTTGCTAGTATGGTGGGTCATTATAAAAATAATCAAAACTGGAAGATTCCTTTTGTCAGCTGTGGAACACTAGAGAGTTGTCTGAAAATCTCTCGATACTGCCACCTTACAGTAGAGCTGTTGTCCCGCTTGCTGGTCTTAATAAAATAGTAAAATTCTTCCATTCCTACAGGAATTATTTCAACAGCCATGACGTTTTGTTAGTGGCCAATTATTTTAATGTAGTACCACTGCACCTTTGGCAGAACCAAAAGAGCTTTGTGACACTCACGTAGCGTCACGTGTCACTGAAAAAAAAAACCAGACTGAGTCGCCAGGAAGAGTTACTCAAATGATACTCCAAGTTCAAACCTTATGTTAATGCTTAGGAGACTGCCTAGATGGTATCACCATCCCCTGTGCTGCGTGGCGTGGCAGCAGCACAGTTCCAACACAAGGTCTACTTCGGCAAAAATCAGCTTTGCGCTTTCACGTTTTCGGTTTAGTACTTCCACGTAATCTCGATGATCTTACTTGTTGAAGCCACAGGAATGTTGGGAAAATTAGTGGTGCTGGTAGTGCTAGCCTCAGTAGGAGCTAACATGGCTGGGGTGCTATAAGGCTCTGTAGATGCCCTGTTACTTGGTGGGTGCTGGATGGTTTGGACTGAATGGCCTTCGGCAGAAGACAACGACGGCTGCCCCTCGTAGTCATGAACGTATTCGTCTTTCACCAACATGCTTGATGGAGCTGTGAAGAAGCAAAGGGTTAAACAGGCAAAGCAAATCTATTTTCTGAGTTTAACTACAAATTGCATTGCTACTTTCAAGCCATAACGACGCTATTAAAACTACTGGGGGGGGAGGGAGGATTTAACCTCTATCAACATTGCCAAAGCACAAATTACAAATAAACGCTTCGAGTCAGCAGCAGGAAATTTTAAAGCATAACTGGGTGGAAAAGCAAACTGTTTATTTTGCTTATTGCTATCAACCAAGGGGTTTAGTCCGACAGCAGTAAGACTCCAACAGCATTTTGGTTTCATGGTTAATAAAAAGGAAAAAGGTGCTTTTTGTCAAGCACCTAACTCGATGTTAACGCAGTAGCTAATAAACCAATTCCTAGTGTAAGATTATGAACATAAATAAAGCCCCTGTGAAAAATGAAATTCGTGAACACAGCACCAAGAACTTCACGCATGCCTTAAGCGACTCCCATTCAAATTGACCAGAAACATCAAATTCACATTCAAAACCAACGTCACACCACTCTGTGCTTAACAACGTAGCCAACTAACTCAGAATATTGCACATAGAGCATAAGGAAATTATTACCTTTGCCACTACAAGAGTTTATTTCTTTATCTCCTATGGAGCATGTTCAAGTAAAACTCTTACACTACATTAGCTCCCATGCTCATTTTTAAAGCAGCTTTAAATATATTGAAATCTGACAGACATTCTGGTTCCTGCTGCAAAAAGAGTAGCACGACAAGGAAACACTTATTATGTATTTAACTGCTGGCTAATAAGCTTTGAGTCTGTAAAAAAGAAAAATCATTTTTCAGAAGACACAGGTAACAATAGAAATGAGCAGAGGTGAGCTCACAAGTTAAAGCTTGGGAAGTTAACAGTTTGATGGGTTGTTTGGGTTGGGTTTTTTTTTTTAAGTCATTTGTGCTTGAATTCTTCTAATACTGTGCTAAAAAAATGGGATTTACCCAGATATTTTTCTCTATGAATTCCTTCTGGAGGGGAAAAAAAAAAAACCCTCAGTTTTGAGATAAAGCAGTTACCAGCTGTACAATGTCAGATTTCTGAATAATGTTCATTGGACATTTAATGTCCAATTTCTCTCAAGTTTCATGGAGAGCAAGAATATTAGACTGCTTCATTCAATTGCATAATAAATACAGAATTTCTGTAATTTTCTTGTTAAACTACTTATTAAATCAGAAGCATCTATTATTCCCAATTCAATTAATTAGTACATCTCACAGATGCATGCATTCTTGGGTGGTTTTTTGATGGGTTTGAGGTTTTTTTCTTCCCAATTAGCTGCAACCAACAGCGAGGTTTTGGGGGTTTGTTGGGGTTTGAAAGTTGCAGACAATGCAAACAGAACTTACCTACTAGCTGAGCTGAAGCCTCAGTTTAAAGAATTTATCAATGCTCGCCTCTCATATGTTATTTAGCTGATTTTTAAAATCAGAGAGACAAATGCATTTCCATCTGCTCTCTATACTCCCTCCCAAGGTGTTTTGCCAATGATCAGGCCTAGCATAAAGGGCACAGCCAGCAGAAAGATGAACCAATAACCAAATTGTGTTTGATACAGAAGGGTCAGCACATGGGTGAGCGCTGGGGGTACAAACCAGTCAGATTATACATAATGGACATCAATCACACCGACCCCAACAACGACACCGCACGACCAACAGTGGGTGGGATAAATGGTGACATGCAGTCTCCCATAGAAGGGACGGGAGACAACCGAGTCAACAAGCCAAACACATCAGACCAAGGAAGCCACACACTGAATCTCTGCACAGCCCACATTTAGAAAGGCCAGAGCTGACTGAAGCCCAGTCCCAGGGAGGCGGGAGGTCCTTCCCCAACAGGGAACTCTGCACAGGGCACCCACCTCACACACAGACACTGCCCCTCCTGCGAGGGGTCCCAGCTTTTATCCCTGCGTGGGACACCTGACCTTGGGTTACTCACTGCGGGACCCCTGGGGCTCCTTTACCCAACGGCTCTGTCTGCCAGGCCGCCCACCCTGGGGGGAAGCCTAAAGGCAAACTCACCCCCCGCCCCTTTGGGAAGGGCTGTGGGAATCACCCAGACATCAACCTTAATTTGGGGCTTGGGGTTGAAACCCCAGCAATTCACGGGGAGACACACAGGAATAAACTGTGCATGTACTGAAGAGTTTTAACACAGTTTGTGCCTGTAGAAATGCAAGAGTAAACAGAACTACTTACCAGAACTCTGTAGTGTCAGTCCTGAGAGATCTTTAAAAAGAAGAAAAAGAAAAGGGGGTGTGGAGGATTATATACACTGAGATCTTCAACAATATTTGAACATTACTTTATAAACCTTTACAAATTAGTACTACAGACTCTACATATTTATTATACCCCCTCCATCACAACACAAGCCTCAACGTTAAGTTACTCCTAGGATACACATCAACTGTAAGCACTGGGTTCAAAGCCAACAGAAAGGCTTAAACAGAAGCCACAAGCTGTTCTTTCAAATTTGGAATAAAGGTAAAAGAATAATTCCATTAAGAAGACAGACAAGAGCATATGAGAGCAGTTTATAATTAGACCATTAAAAGTTAATGTTTCTAATTTAGGCCTGCATTTTCTACACTCAAAACATTTTACATTCCATTCCCACTGTTCCATTTGAAATCAAGAGTCTACTTACCGATGCCAGGCGATACTACACGCTCATAATGGTAAGGATTTACACAGACACTGTCACATTTTAAGTCAAAAGCATACTGACAATATTTAACATGCTTGAGTTCATTTTTATGAAGATCAGGCCACCTCCAAAGACGAGCGTAAATCACATGAGGGAATCCCTTGCGACCAGCCACCTAAAAAGTCAGACACAAAAGTTGATTGGGAAAGTAGCAAGACATTTCACTTTACTTAGTGAGGAGCAAAGCTGGAAGAGGACAAACAACAACACAACCTCTCTCCATCATCAAAATATGAAAAAAAAAAGGTGGTGTACAGTTTACCCAAGTTCTGTACTCAACAGAAATAAATTTCTATTAGGGTTTTGCTATGGTTAAGTCAACACTGTGATTCTTAAGAAAAAATACTGGATACAAAATGGCAGAAGCAGAATTTGTGCTTAATGTAGTATGTATGGTCACCTTCCCCACCATGGATGATGAAGGAGCTTTGCCCCAGAAGAAGAGGAACGAGGCACTAAGCTACACTATAAGGAATTTACAAGTAGAAGAATGCCAATCCATTATACTGGAAAAAAAAATAAATAAATTAAATAAATGCTTCTAGGGTAGACAGAAAGCTAGCCAGCAAACATGACAGCTGTCCTGGAACAAGGAAGTCACAACCCAAGCTATACAGGTACTGAGTACTGACGATGTAAGGCTAACATAAATCCTCAGTGCAGACTCCTTGGAGTACCTTAGCAAGGGATCACGGGTCTTTCTTCACACTGCTGACCAACACAGAGCTAACAGAAGCTTGTAGTGAAAATACCAGGATAAAACAGCCGAATTTGTTACGTGACCCTGCTTTTTACTGCCACACACACACTCGTTTAGAACGGCTGATCCAACGCCTTCTGCTCCTCGTGAAAAAAAATAATCAACTACTGCAGCAGTCCAGAGCTCCAGCCACAAAACATGCCTACAAATGGGGGCGAGGAGGGATGCAAGAGAAGAGCTACTCTTCCTCAACACTCTAGGATCCTGCGTCACTCACTTTCGCTCCAGCTTCACTAGGAGGAAAACATCTGATTTTTCACTTGTACTAACCTGAAGCCTCCCATCCAGCGTTCTCTGTATTGTAACACACTTGCTAGGATGAGCTCCATTTGTGGTTATAGCTGTAATCAAAGAATCCAATTCATCTTTTTTCTCCTTTAGCTTTTTAACTAAACTTTCAATTGCGCGTTTTGCAAAAGTTTCACTCTCTCCACCTTGTCGATGGCACATCAAGCTGTGAACAATGCTCAGACAAGCATCATTACTTGTTGGCGTGTTAGTAATAGACATATTGTCCATTTGTCACAGCTTTTTTCTTTCAGATCAAATGTCAGTTTTGGGGGCTGTTATGATTTTCAAGCTGATGAACAAGAGATGATCCAAGTTAAGTGTTAGATGTACTGTCTCTTGGTAAAACCTAGGAGGAAAAAATATCTACATTAGAATTGTTTTTAACAAATTGCAGATCATGTTTCTAAGGAAGTCTGTGGCTTTTTGCTTCTTTTATTTTCAAGCTAAGTGCAGGATATTAAAAGCACATGAAAAAAACTGCATTGCTTGTCCCATGATAGCTAAAACATGCTTAAGACACTGCTTGCACAGTTTTAGATATAAGATTTCTTTTTTTTTTCCCCTAGTAACAATATTTAAATAAAGATTATAGTTTATATACATGTACACATAGTATGTACATATAGAAAGGTAGGGATTATTAGATGAACAGGCTCTGAACGAGGAAAAGGAGAACAGTGACAATAATTTCCTATGGTTTATACTGGTAGGATGAAACCAAGTGAAAATACTGACTGGGAATGAAGGGGCATTGATTTAAACCCAATTTGAATAGTGAAGAAGCATGAATGCACACCAGAATCATCTGTCATCTTTATGTAATAATCCTGCTCAAATAGTTTCAGCTACGTTCTGACCTCAGACTAACTCTATTTCTCTCTGCTAATCAGAAAGGCACAAATTGTACCTGGCCATTAGCTTAATACACATTTCTGTAAATTAGCATCGTGTCTATCTTCGTATCTGAAAATCCCAACTGGCACCTTTGTCTTTCCTTGTTTGGATCCAGCTGCTTCTGGATCAAGACGAAGCAACTGAAGTCACTGAAAAAGCACTTCCAAATTGTCTCCAACAGAACTGCCTTAATTACACTGAATATAAGATGAGGAGTAAGCCCCTCCTAACACATTCGGCCTTTAAACTCCATTTGTTAAGAACCTGCAGCGGTTTCTGGTCGTGAAGTCATCCTTCTCCAAGCCAGCAAACCTCACCCTCCTGAAGTTTCATTTAATTCACAAATTAGAAGAAGAGCTGGCCTGATTTTCTCAGTTCTGAGCAAGCTAATTACTACGTTTTATCCAGAAACATAGGACAGCAGGTTTTGTGCACTCACAGAAAAGGAGTCTCATGTCAAAAAAGCTGCTTTGGTTCTTCAAGTAGTCGCCCACAAACACCATTCTCTCAACTCTGGGGTCTGGCTTTCTTAAGACACTGGTAGCAAATATACAAAGGGATTTTTAAAATATAAAAAGTGATTGGACTACATTTACATTTTCTGAGTCAGCTTAAAATATAAGCCTTTCCAAAACTAACACGTTCTCAGCAATTTAAATCAAATATATTTGAGTTCAACGGTTAAGGGGAAAAAGTTTGTTCGCATCGTCTGAGGAACACATCCAGGCAAAGACCTGTTACTGCGCTGGAATTTACCATGTTATCAGAGGTACAGTAGCAGCAGCTATTTGTTGGAAACAAAGGAGTTGCACAAAAAATAAGAGTGGGACGTTAATTTACAAAGGTAACGCATCACACAAATTACAGTGTGAACGCAAGGCTTCCCTTCCTGTAAAAGGAATAATACTGTAACACAAATCCAGCACTACTATAAAAGGAAACAAAGTCTGCCCTATTTAATATTTTCTCCAATTTCAACTTTAATACAGCATGCTTTGGTATAGTTAGGAAAAAAAAAAAACCAACCCACACATGGCAAAGCCTTCCCCCCACCCACCCCCCTCCATTTTCAATAGTTTTCTTCTTTTGTAAGGATGCTTCTGGACCTAATTTCTCCTAAAGGAAAACAATGACCTCAAAGTTTGACTATGATAATTTTACCTAGATATTAAAAGTTTCTCCCTCAATGTTAGGGTTTTTTACGCTTCAACTCAGTAAGCCTCTTTGAAAAGTCAAGCTTAACCTGCCAGTCATTCTCCATGGCAACTCGCACTCGCCTAAATCCATAAAAGCTTGCCAGATAAAAAAGAATAGAACATCATTTTTCTTAAATATGAAACAGCATCCCAGATAGATATGCGTAAGTAATCATAAATAAGTGACTTGATAAAACTATTAGCCAAAAGAGCTTTAAATAAAGAGATGCTTAAAATTAGACGTGCAGCTCTATCTTCTACACCCCTAAAACCCATGAATGAGAATCTTGCTTGCTGACTTTCAGAAGACTAAGATCAAGCAAAGAAATCCTTATTAAGTGGAATGATCTTCAGAAATGTTGAGTCACCCCTCAGCTGCCACTGCGCTCAATAGGAGCTTCTGACTGTTCAGCACTTTTGAAAGCCGGGCCACTTGTTTAGGATTTTGAATCCCGTTACACGCCGCTGGTGCGTAATTGCATGGCAATTCAGGAGCCTCCCTGTAGAAGTCCCTTCCACACAAATCCGCTATTTAATCTCGTCGTTTCGATCCCCAGAAAAAGGGGGGGAGGTCAGTGGCTATCGATCTGATTGATAATATTGATAAAATGCTGTGACGTGTTTCTCCTGAAGCACCAGAAGCATTAGTATGTTGAACAGAGCAGCCAAGTTTTTACGTTCCACAAATTTAGTTTCTCACAAAATAGCTCTACAAGCCTATCTCTGACTGAGTCACACATTCAAGAAGTGCCTTAACACCTTCTTACTATATTACTTTCATGTGTGCAAATAAAAGCAAAATGCAATCTTAATGAGTTTTATTTTTAGAAGATAGCCTTTGAAGATAAGGTTCCAGCATGCCCTCAGACGTGGAGAGCTAGATGTTCTGCAAAACAGCAGCAGCACGCTCGTGGGATTTAACTTGTACTTGATGCAAGAATGAAACTTCAAAATCGCTCCTTAGCACGTCCCCCCCCCCACTCAAGTAGGTGATCCCACACTACAGCTCAAGCTTAGATTTACAGTGGAATAGGTAGGGCCAAATATACTGAGCAAAGAGCTGCTTACTTCCCTTTATCTAGGAATTTCATAGAAAAAGAGATGGGTGAGAGTGTGCTTTGGGGGAAAAGGGGCCGAGAGAAGAGTCAGGGAACATACAAAAAGCAGCAGCAGGAGACATCGCTTACAGCGGAGCTCTCAGCTTCACCTCCCAAGGAACAAAAAGGTATTTCTCACCCTTTTGCTATGATGTGACACGAGCAGAACGCAGAAGTTAAAAAAAAAAAAAAAAAAGGTAAGATGATGTGAAACGCTAAGAAGTTACAAAGTTCTAGAGAAGATACCTCTATGTAATAGAAAAGTCATTTATTTCAGTAACAGGTATGTTACAAAATAAGAGAGCAACAACGAGTGTTCTGCAATAAATCTGAAATACAGGAACAAGAATAAGATCCTCTGAAGAGGAGACAAATCTGAAAGACAAAAGAAGTCAAGATTGCCGGGTAATTAAAGCCACCTTTGATGAGCTGTAGCGAACGCGCCACTATCTCAGAGAACTGATAAGCAACCATGAGCTGAAACTCTTTCCTTCGAGACTGATGCAGACTTGAGCAAACAACCGTAATTCTGCCCTGCATCCTACTTCCCCGCGGCTGCCTCGCTGAAGGGTGATGTGTCTTTTTAGCCTGCACAATGAAATTCAAAACATGAAGCAGCTGTCTAAAATTAAAAATGCAACACTGGTGCCACATGCCTCATTTTCACGTCTGTGGATAATTCTGCCAGAAATGGTTACCTGAACAATATAAATAGATTCTAAAAACACAGACCTCTGTAACAGCATGCTACCTCATATAACGAAAATCAAATATATTATTGACTTATTTACGTGGAAGTAACATTACTGAGCTCTCACACTGGTGCTTTGATTGCACTTACATTTATCTTATGGGCAGAAAAGAAAAATAAGCACCACACTGACTCAAACTATTCCACTGCTCTCAGATCAACTGCTACATTCTCTTTCTCAAAGCCACGATCATTTTACTAACGTGACTAGAAAACAGGGTTTAATGTTCAGCATCTTCTGCTCCTCAGAGCTCCAGGAGAGCACTTCCCCAAAAAAAAAAAAAAAAAAAAAAAAAGAGCAAAGTACAAAAAGCCAACGAGATCTCACCCAACGGGATAATCAATGCATTTATGGAACGGAAAATTACTCTTCCACCTTGTTTGCCAGCATCTCTCTTCAGCTGCACCAGCAAGAGAATATTCTAAGCTGGCACAGTGCTTTTAACACGCCAAAAAACAAGAGGATCAAAACCAGCATGAGCCATGGCTTCCAAATATTTGCAGCAACTCTTCAGGCAGCAAACTAGGTATTTAAGAGATACGATCATTTGGAAGGTCTCACACAAGGCCTGAGACTTGCTGAGGTGTATTTCAGTTTGAAATTCTTCACCTAAAAAGCATGCAGACGCACAGACACACACGCACGGTCAGAAGAAGGTGCAAGGGGGTTCGAAAATGAAAAGTTTTTTCTGCTTTTCGCGGTTAGAAAAAAAAAACCACAACAACACACGGACTCGATTTCCCTGCTTTTACAGTTGTATAGAAGTTCAATCAAGACCTAAGGGTAGGGGCTGCTAAAAAAAAATTTAAAAAAACAACAAAACACAACAAAGATTTCACCTAAACCCCTGTCAAATTTTGGAACTTATCTGAACAATTTCTTCCTCCAAACAATTCCCGTTTCCGCTACTCTAACGCGGTTGAAATTTGCTGAGGAGTTACAAACCCAGATTTTTTTAAAAAGAACCCCCATTCTTTCTACGTATTAAGAACAGCCTTAAATGAAGACTTTTTACCCTCACAAGTCACTTATCTTCACCCTCTCCTCCCACAAAACCCACACTTTGCGATTTGGGGAGAACGATCAACCCCAAACAAGAAAAGGAAATAATACGCTTACGCAGACAAACCAGGCGGTTATGGATGGAGCTGGAAGTCAGGGAATATGATCCAGGCAATCAGCAATCCAACAGCTTGGGCAAGACGGTTAATCCAGGCTCGACGCTGATATGATACGCCACCCTTATTCATTTACAGTAGGGTTTAAACCAATCGCAGCTGCGGAGGGATCAAATTCACCAAGAAACTCGGTCTAAAAATGTGACAGTCCAAATGCCACTCGATAATTACTTTAAGATATGGGCAAAAGGCCAAAACCCCCTCCATGTCACTTTGTTAGCGTATATTT